ATTTCCTGCGAATTCTGACATGCGTTAATTTTGCACGGCAAACAAGCTGTTAGCGACAAAAAAGACAAAAATGTAATTACACCAAAACAAAGAATAAAAGTGTCAACGTGAATGGAGATAAAAAAATGTTCGTTTTGCTGATAATAATAATTTTAAAAGAATATACTCCAAGATAGAGTTTAATTGTTAGGTGTGGTTAGATTTATTTCGAAAGGAGATTTTTTTCGTCCCTCAAGCAAATTAAATCAAGGTGCCTTCTGCGAGTAAATTCGATATTCTCAGCACGTCGTGAAGTGGCTGCCGACTCTCATAATTTACGGAATTAAATTGATAAGAACGGCGGCGAGCTTGACAAAGTAATAAATTTGGAAAAATGGAGCAAGAGCACGGAATGGAATCTTCTTCAATCTATGATGTGCAGTTGTATGTGTTTTTTTCGTTCAAAGAATTATCTTCTTGGGAGGACGGAATAAATTTTTCAAAGCGGTTCGCTGATAATAAATTGTGCGATCTCGGCGCGTCAGCTTTTGATAGCCTATTTTGAGGAAATGAAGCTTACACGGCACTATGTTAATTCCATTGTTGCGAGCGGCTCGCGATTTACAATGCAATTCACACGCTTGATTTCGTGTATAGTTAATGATGAATTATTTATAAATCGGCCTCAACAATGTCTATACGTCTGATGTTCTTGGGCGCAGGTGCTACTTCTATCCTCTCTCGCTCGCTCATTCTGTCTTTGTGCATTTTAAAAACTCGCTCGTGCAAATAGTCAGCGCACAAGTCCCATACGTAAAAATAAACACGCCACGTGAATATTCAGAGTTTGATTTCCGTCCTCGCACAATGAGCTCTTTTTCCAGTTTGACGTGCGTGTATGCATATTAGAACCGATATTGACGCACCGATAATGAATTGAATGTTTAATTAATGAACATGCGCGCCGGTAGGCGGACGGACGGACGGATCGACGCTGTAGAGAGACACACAGAACTGCTCTTTTGTGTGTTTTTCGCTTGGAATTATGCTAACGCAGGCGGACGGGAGCGTTGTTTCACTTTTTTCTGCGGAAAAAATATTTACCAGATCGGTGCTACGAAAAAAAATTGAAATGAGAATTCTTTAAAAAAGCTAAAAATGTCATAATTATCCTTTGATATTCAATTTTCAATTAAATAAAACTTTTACCACTTAAGCGAAGGTTCAATCTAATTTTTGTTTTAAATTGAATTAATAATCATTCATGCTCATAATTTAGCCATTTAATTATAATATTATCTTGAAGGAGACTATGTATGTCTCCTTCAGATGATATTTATTTTAACCAACGTTCATCTCAATAACAAAGTAGATGGAGTGGACATTTAAAAATTGTGTACAAAAAATGAAGATTTTACAGGAAAATGGGTGAAAAATCTCACGACAATTAAATAACTTATTCATTGAAAGGACCATGCCGAATATTAATAATTTTTAAAATTTAGATAAATTTCATATCGAAAAAAATCCGTAATGAAAAAAATATGATTTTATTTATTTTTTATTTTTATTATGAAACATAAATCTAGTTTGTTGAATATACTGGAAAATACTTAAATTACAGCACATTTAAGCTATAATTGAGGCCTACGTTTAGCGTTTTTGTTAATTTGGTGAGTTGCGTTTCGCACGAGTGATTAGTGAATTATATTCCTTCCATAAAGCAGCACGAAATAATTGCCCACGGTGTGTGTGTTGGTGTAATGTGCCGTGATAACGGGGCGGTGCGTGACAAAATAAAAATTTACGGGGGAAAAAACACATATACACATCGCATGCGAGAGGGTGAGAGTGACGGACGGACCGAGGGACAGCAGCAGCTACAGAGAGCGCAAGAGTTTACATAATTAACAGCGTGTCAGCAACGTTATCGCCAGGGCTAATAGTTTCGGTGCGCGTTCTAGTTTCGCGTGCATGCGTCGCCGATAGACTGTAAATTAACCGCGAACATAACCCTTGCTTATATACACATGCTGCTGCTGCTTGCTCTCTCCGTCCGAAACACTCTGGCTGAATGTACGATGCAAAATCAATAACATTGGTGCTGTGGATTTTCGCGCGGCGACTGCAAATGAATGAATAAACGGCCCGCAACTCATGCAGCCCTGGAGAATTGATTTTGCGGCGATTAATTTCAATTTGCAGCTCGCGAGCGCTGCGTGCTGCCCAGCAGTTATGAATTGTGGATTTATCGGCGGGCATTATGGCGTCGCGGTCAGCGCGGCCAACCCGCACGATCAACGCCGACAATCAATTGCGACTGAACCACTTTTTCAAATCTCGATTTTCAGCATTTTGCAGCGGGGAAAAGCAGAAAATCAATTAGGTATAATCAAATAATCATGGACCAATCATCGTTTTTAAATATTTAATGATTTATTTTTGTTCCGTTTGAAGAATTTTATATACCAGTGCTGGAAAAATATTAAAATTATACTTGGATATTCAAATCCCACAAACTCCTGGCGTATTGATAAATTTAAATTCATATAATTAATTTGTTATAAAATTTCAAACAACTATTATTTTATGATTCGAATATATAAGTAAATAATATTATTAGATATATTGTAATAAATAAATGTTATACATTACACGCATTCTGATGGAAGGAAATTTCTCTTTCATGAAAAATACCATGCTCTTGTGAATGAATATATAGTTATTGTTTTTTTAATGAATACCTTTTTTCTCATTCATAATTATAAATTATGAGTAAGCTAAAAATGTGCTAATAAAAATTATGAATAAAATTGAAAAAATAAATTTATATATAAATATAATTATTAAATTAAATTTTATTTAATTATTATTTGGCTTCACGAAAATTATATTTATAAGTAACAAATGAATCAACTTTTTAATTAAATATTAATAAGTTTATTTACATAAGTTTATCTACATGAACTTATAACTAAACTGCAGTGTTTTGATGGGCTCAGCACTGATAATGGAGCGCATCTTTCGCAGAGCATAAGGCCGCGTAATCAAACAAGGTGGTGACTGACACTCGTTCGCGCGGAGGAAAGGCGTGGCCCGATCGGTGCTGTCATATTGCAAAAACGGGCTTTGCTTACAGGGTGTGAGGCGCAGTCGCTAACACGCAGAGCGAACACCGACCGAGTCCGCTGCTGCCCCCGGCGAGAGAGCGAAGCGTGTAACAATAAGATGACAGCAGCTCGGATATTAAATGCGCGCCGGGGCGAATCTGCCGCCGCCGTTAACCCCCGACGTGACCCGCATCCGAGATGCTACCAAACCGCCCCTGTGCGCAAATCCAAGGCCACTCGAATCGCAATAAAGATGACGCTGAATTATAATGGGAGTAAAGCAAGCAACCCCTCTCTTTTCTTCAATTGTGCCAAATCTTACAAATCATAGCTCCACTTCAGTCTAATTGCAAAATATCATTTTAATTTAATAAGTTTCATTTTTTGTTATGATATTTGTTTCAGGGAGTTGGATTTCTTTTTTAATAAACCGTTTTGCAGAAAGTTTTTTTTTAAATATATTTTGGATGTAAAAGTCGCGCATATTTGTTTCTACGTCCAAACAAAGCGAAAAACTCTGGAAAGTAAGCAGCCCTCTCAGCGCTGTTTTTCTATATATCGTATTATTATTTGCGCGAATAAAGTTTGCCTTCTCAAAAAGTACTCGTGGGCAAACTACGTGCGTTGATATGCGGGGGCTGTGTTTGCACTCTCCCTCGCGAAAAATTCCCTCGGCAGCCGCACTCGAGGAAAAGTTCTTTGTTTGTTATATCATTTTTCCGTTGATATTCTTCCTCATATTTGTTTTCGGAACCCCTCTGATGCCGACTTTCTGCAGGCATACAAAATTCCATGTTAATTTGGTATGCGCGCGAGAACACTTGAGCAATAAAACGAAACTCGCGCGGTTTGAAATCAGGTGCAAGCAGAGGAAAGGAGTAATGAATTTTCAAACTCGCTTACTTATTTTCAGCAGACTTTTTACTGCCACGCGGCGGGTTTCAAGTAACGAGAGGAGTAGCGCATGAATTTACATTTTCGTAATAATCTCGGCTGGCGAGAGAGCGGCAGCTTCTATATATTTCGGGCTTGTTATGAGAGGTTTAATTACTTTTTAAATTTTAATTAGCCAGGCTATAAATTACGTCGTTAACAGTCGCGGCAGTTAAGCTTTGAAAACTGGTCGAAAGAATATGGCCGCGCGCTGTAAATCTTTTACAACTGCTCGTCATTATTATTGCCGGCACCGCTGCCGCCGCCGCCGCGTGTATTGATCTGCTGGCCGCGCGCAGGTAAATCTGGGAAGAGAGCGCGCGAGATTAATCGCCCCCTGCCCCTTTCCCTTAATCACGTCCTTTAAGGGCGAATCTGATTACTTTTTCCTCCGCCGTTTATTTCACTTTAAAAACGCTGTTCTACCAGGCCGGCTGCTGGTTTTCTGGAAATGTATTTTTTATCTGGCGGCGCATCACTTTGTTTTATCCTCTTTTTATACGCCCCAGAGAAAAAGAGAGCGGAGGGCGCGATATATATTTTTCCCGCCCTGCGCCACTTTAATAAATGACCCGGCCGCCGTAAAACGAGCTGCTCCTCTGCCCATTTCTAATGCCGCTGAAGACGTTCTTCTTTCTCTCTCTTACTCGGCGCTCTCTGCCCATTTTAGCTTATTTTTTTACCGCACACACAGAGTCGTCGAGAGACCAACTTGGGTAAGAGAGAGAAATTTAATTTCAATCTCGTCGATTCAGCACTCGAGAAAAGTTTAATCTGTTGATAAGGACTCCTTTATGGGGTCGGTCGTGATTGGCTGCTGGCGGCAGATAGTGTGCCTAGGGGAAATAAGAGCGTCCCTCCGCATGCAAAAAAGTCTCTTCCGCTTAATGATTTCCTTCTTTTTATTTCTTCCAATCCCTTTCTTTATATGCACTTCTCTGTGACTAAAAAAGTTGCTCGTTTTTTGTATTCTTGCAGGTACGGAATGGACCTGAACGGGGCGCGGCGCAAAAACGCGACCAGGGAGACGACGAGCACCCTCAAGGCGTGGCTCAACGAGCACAAGAAGAACCCCTACCCGACCAAGGGCGAGAAGATCATGCTGGCCATCATCACCAAGATGACCCTGACGCAGGTGTCCACGTGGTTTGCCAATGCGCGACGTCGGCTAAAAAAGGAGAACAAAATGACATGGGAGCCGCGCAACAGGGTCGAGGACGATGACAACAACAATGACGATGATGATCGCCCTAGTCGGAAGGACAGCAAGGACCACCTTGGTGAGTAAAATCTTTTTCTCTCCAATTTTGCACTTCATTGGCAGGTAATTTCATTGATTTTTTTCTTTTTGGTTGAAAAATAATGCATTATTGCAGTCCCTTAAATATTTTTTTTTTTTTGCAATTTATAATTGCTACAAATAAAAAACTAAAATATTGCTACTAATAACAGGTTTTACAAATAAAACTAAAAAAAAAGCATAGCTATTTTTATTTTTATTTTAACTATGAGAAATTTAACTTTTATTTATTTTAAATTTTAAATCTCAATATATTTATAATATTATTTTGTTTATATTTTGAATTATTGCATTGACCCGTGATTAATCATGTTCTTATTACCCTTTTTTAAATATTTAAGTAATTTTTTTACAATTTACAAGAGAAATTATTACTGCATAAAATAACATAATCTTTGTCATTGTGATGATTTTGAAAAATCTAATTCTAACTGTCTGATTTCTCTATGATTAATTTTAAATTTTTAAATTCATACTAATTAGAGATAAATTGATCGCTAAAAATTATAACAATCAAATCTATATAGATCAAATAAAGTTTCTGTTTCTTATTGTATTATCATTCATATATGAAACATAAACAATGACCAATGATATTAACGTTGTTTTTGCCACTGTGTATATAAGTTCTATACTTATTCAAATACAAAAATGCGGAACGCGAGAAAGAGAAATATCTACTTTTTTTATTTGAACTCCTTTGAACTTTCTACATAAAAATTTCCTGCCATTCCTTCCCCATTCTTTGCTCAAAGATTACAGACGTACAGAAAAAGTTTCCATTACCCTGTTCTCGCCTATCAGTTTCAGACTGAGTGCACTTATGCATGTCAGCACCTTTTTCGCCTTTTTGACTAAGTAAAATTTTACTCTAATTTATCTTACATTTTATAACATATCAAATTTTCCGCTCGAGCCAACATTGTCGCTGGCAAAAGCATTTTATCAGAAAAATTATTTTGTACGTTGCATATAATATGCTCGCTATATGGCTGTGTCGAAGCGTACATATGCAATTCCATTTAGCTAGTTGGAATTGAAACAATTCCGTCCATATGTCCACGATGTGCGCCACTCGGCCGCACCAGCATTTAATAATCGACATGGAAACAACCGCACCACTCGTTTGCTAATGAAACATAATTGGTACCGCAATCTCGCGAATTTACTTCCGATGACACACATTTCGACACACACCGCTCTGCAATTTGCCTTATCGACACACGCGTAATTAATTTCCAAATTACCACCAAGAGCTGCAATTACGCAATTTAATACATTAAGTGGAAGAGTACAGAAGACCATTACGAAGACAAAGCAGCGACATGCGACACAATTAAATTAATTGCAATCTTCCTGTTCAAGCGCAATAAATTCAGCGTCCCGCCCTTATCAAGAGTAAATAATCCATCCGCGCTCGGGTTCCGTTCGCTTATTAATAAATTGCTTGTGGGGTGTATTCATACGTATGATGGCCTAGCGATGATCCCCCGCAACAAAGAATTGAATCGGCCGGTTTCCCTAGCCGTGTCTCGCGCCCCTCAGCACTTTTATTTATCGTTTCGACGGAGAGTGCGTGCTGCCGCTCGTGGGCAAATAAAAAAGGCTCTGCTTTTTCGATTTATGGCAATATCGTGTTGGTCATGGTCCGGATTTAAACGCAATAAATTCACTTGCCATATAGCTCCTCCGGAACGCGAAGAACAAGCGACGCTGATGTCCTGCTCACAGATAAATAAATAAATTTTGTATATCAGACGCGCGCGTTTCCGTTTCGCTTGCAACGCGATTCATCATTTGCTACAAACACATGCAACAATAAATAATCCACTGTTTTTACGAAGGACGAATTTTTCAAAAATTTCTAGAAAAGTCTCTTGAGGATAATTATTCACGGCGATAACAAGCTCGTTGTCCGCAATTATATCCCATTTACAGCAGAGGCATGCTCGGTTTAATTTATTATCATCCCGTGTGCACCTGATACGCTGCTAGCTGGGTGGTGTACTCGTATATGTAATTCATTTTTCTGCAATTTGCGTGACGTCAGCGCGAGTATGTCTCAACACGCTACTCGCCGCGAGAAACAAATAGCCCTTTTCGACCACACGTGGCAATGAATAGCGAGGCTTTGTGTTGAGCAGTTGAGAGTAAATTTTCCACGCCAGCAGACAAATAAGCTGAAATGCACACTCTAAAAAAAAACATGAGTTTTCATGAGTTTTTCACGTCTTTTCACGAAAATGGCGCCATGAATTTTTATTCCAGGCCTAAACATGAGAATTCATATTGAGCAGCGGAAAACTCACGTCTGCCATGAAAAATCATCATGTACATGAACCACGCGGAAGGGTTTCAGGTCGCGTGTCCTGTTTTGTCTCTCCTCCCGCAGCAAGTACATAGAAAATTCTTCCTCCCCACAACAACCCTCTTCGATGCTCGGACCTTTTCGTTGTTTACTTATATACCTAAAGGATTAAATAGGGGAAGTCTCGCTGGCCAGCATTATTTCTCCACCTTTCCTTCTTTTTGAAAGCAAACCAACGGCCAAAATCAGTTCGTGTCTCTTACTTGCAGCAAAAACACATACATTTTTCTTTCGGACCATCTAAACAACATATAAAAATGTGCCGGATTTTCGCCCTCATCGTCTGGAATTTTCAATTTTAAGGTCAGTAATCTTTTTCGTTTTAATTCATGATTGTTAAGAAAATATTTCTTAACGTGGATCGCTTATATAATTGAAGTGTTTCATCATTCTATTACAAGAAAAATTCTTATAAATTTTCTCTCTTTTCAGGCTACCCGTAACTTTTCTCCAACATCTTTTCATGCTTCAAGTTTAAAGTTTGGAATTGCTGCACTGCATTATCATCGCCGATAGCCGATATGTGTTCCATTTTAAAGGCACCATAATCTTGGAGGATTTATTATAAAATTAAGGTAAATAAAGTTTTTAAATAATTGCATTGCGCATACATATTTTTCTTCTTCTAGATATTCTTAAATGCAATTTTAATAATGTGGTTTTTGCCATGTTCACAGGTTTCCATGATAAAAATCCGGGATACAGGACAGGGATCAAGAGGGCTGTGAAATGAAGAAGACTTGCATCTCATCACAAAGTTTCTACACATGATTGTTATGGACAAAGTGACTTAAATTTTCTCAGTGTTGATGTGATTTATTTTGAACCAGATTAGAATAAAACTGAATGAATCCATAATTTTAATTAATTTATATTTTCTTTAACACCAAATCCTAAATAATGAAAATAAAAAGCGCGAAATATATTTTTATGCGAAGCCGTGAATTTTCATATTGCCGGCATACCAAAATTCATGCCTCTCATGAGAACTGCCCAAGCGACGCCAGTAAAACTCATGCGCGCATGGATCCTGTGAGCGTACCTCATGAAAACTCATGTCGCACCTGAATTTGAGATTCATGTCGCGATGGTCTTTGAATTACACGTTATTTCATGAAAATCCCTCCAGGTTTTTCTTAGAGTGCAGGGTGCTGTGTATTTAATTACATGATGTCTTTGCCTGAGCGCAGCAGCAGCTAGCACCGTCGTAAACAACGTCTGGATAAACAGCTCTCGAGCGCGCGGTAATTTAAACACCGGTGCCTTGCTTAATTACGTATACGGCACCGCGAGACAGCTGCCGCGCGCGACTAATTCAAAAGCCCTATACCCCTTATCGTGGCGGTGGATAGGCAACCTGTCGGACTCCATGCCACTCATTCACATGATAACTAAGGAGCAAAAGAAAGATCGTAGCGCACAGGTCAAGCTTTTTAAGTATAGATAGTGGATTAAGAGTTATTTTATAAAATTCATTTTCAAATGTTTAAAAAAAAAATTACCAGCAGTACCTACAATGGTTGCATAGAAATTTTCTTTTCGAACTGTTCTTAAATTCTTTTCTTATACCAGCAATGAATTGAAATATACTTTTATTTGCTTTCAATTAAGTTTGCTAAGTATTTTAAGTTTGACCCTCTAAACTATTTTTCTAATTCCTATTAAAATTGTTTTTAAATTTAAAAAAATATATATACAATATAAATGAAATGAATAAATCAAGTATAAATTTGCCGTGAGAATTTAAAATCAAAATTTATAATTTTGAATGTTTTTTCACTTTTAGTAAATTTCCTAACTTTTTTCAGGCGTTTAAATCCTCTCCATTTACTTAGAAGAGAGCTTTTGTAAACATCAGTTTAACCAAAATTTGTTATTTTCTGTTTGCAGACTCGAAAGACTCAGGGACTGCGTCAAGTGAGGACGGCGAGCGTCCGCACCATCGACTGGAGTTGATGAACAGGCCGCCGCGACCGGACACGGGCACCGGCAGCGACTGGAGCGATGCACGTCCGGACAGCGGTCCAGACTCGCCCGAGTACCTGTACGAAAAAGCGCAACACCACCAGCACCACATGCTGCACCATCCGGCAGTCAAGGTGGCCCCAGGGTCACCACCTTCGGACGGTGTGGTCAAGCCGCGCATCTGGTCCCTCGCCGACATGGCCAGCAAAGAAAACGACCATTCGGCGCCGCCGTCGCACCACGCCTCCGCCTTCTACTCAGGCAAATTGGTTCCGGCGTCGATGGCGGCCCGAGCGGCCGCCGCCGCGGCCGCCGGCCTCGCCCAACACCCGCCCCACCACCCCATGTACGCGCGGCCGCCGGCGCCGCACCCTGACCTCTATCGTCTCTACAGTGGCGCCGCCGCGCATCTCCACGGCGGCGACGTTTCCCTTCTCGAATCCTACACGCGCCAGTTTGCCCTGAACGGCGGCGCCAACGGTGCCCCCCTCTCCATGTTGTCCAAAGCGGCGGCCGTGGCCGCCGCAGGAGGCGCCGCCTTTCTAAACGGCGCCGCCGGCCTGACGCCGATTCCCTCGTCGGCGTCGTCCAGCTCGGCCTCTTCGATCGAGCACCAGCTGCACTCGGCCGGTCTATTGACCAAAGTGGGCGGGTCTTCGAGCCCTCCGCCGCCGCACACCGCCCTGCCGGCGGACAAGAGCCCTCCGAGCAGCACGGCGGCCAAGGCTTGACTAGCGGCCGCCGGCGGCGTCGCCAGGCCAGGCGCCCGCTACGCCACCAACGTCGCCCTGCAGTGGTGAAGCCGAGAGCAAAAACTCAAAAGTGCTTTTCGTTTTTCCAAAATAAAAAATGAGATCATCTCCGTGTGCGTACCAAAGACAAATCGCCGAGACTCTTTTCTGTTTTATGTGATGACGAACCGCGCATTAACTTATATAACCGTTCGTGAATGGATTATACATACAAATATCTCTGTCGTTGTGTGTAAGAGTTAAAGACATGATTAAAAAGAAGAAGAAAAAAACGCTGTTCGTGTTTCGGAGCGAAAATGTGTAACACAATTATATTTAACACACGCATTATAAATTGCAATTACTACGTGGCGCGTGGAGAGAGAAGAGGTGTTTCATTAATTATTTTGATCAATTTCTTGATGACTGGCTACTTTTTCAATGTGATACAAAATATCATTCATAATTAATTAATTAATTGCGGTTAATTACTCGAGAATAATTATGTGTATAAAAAACATACGCCAAGTACATATTAGTTGGTAGGTGAGCATTTTATAAAGAGGTGTTTTTATTTGCCGCGCGACATTTTTTTTCCTTTTTCGAGTCGTCGACATACTATTATTGCGTAGAGAGAGTATAATTATATCCATCGTCAACAGCTTTCATACAAAACGGAGCCACTCAATTTATTATGCCTGTATATCCATTTCAAGTTGAACCTAATTAAGTTCATGCCAAGGCCTGTTATTATTTTTCTAAATGAGTTGCCTTTTGAACAAACAACCAAAGCATTTTATCCTCTTTTAAAAAAAACGAATTCCTTGTCACTTGCGTGTTTCGATTTTCGCAATTCACACGCCACCCTTTAAAATTTATATAAAAAAAAGTATTGAAATCGTAGAAAAATTCCTTAGCAAACAATTTTTAATTCGCATCTGATTTGGTGTCGCTCAATGTGAATCGTTTTCATTGCGCGCAAAAATAAAATACACACGCGAACGTATTTAAAACTAAAAAGTGGGTGTAATTGTGTGTATTGCTGAGAGAGCGAAAGAAAGAAAATGTACGAAGCGGGGAGACAAACGATACCTCGTTTTGATTAATTGTCATCTCGCCAGTGACGCAAAACCTTTGTCAAATGAAAACTATATTAAAGAGAAAATCGTATATAAAAAGTACTACTCGTTGTTTCAATGAAAATCAAAACCCACCGCCGTGGCATGAATTACAAATTCCTTGCAGACGCACCCGCGAGATGCGATCCAGAATTCAATTTTTCTACCTCATAATGCTGATGGAGAACCGCAAGCTGTCATGCTGCAGCAGTCTTTAGACATCACCTGTGGTTGCCGAGCCTCGAGGTGCATTTTTCACTGCGTGCAGAGCAAAGCATACAGGATTATCATTGAACAGTCCTAAAAAATGCAGAGTATAGAATTAAATTGTGCACTTCTATCTTCAAAATACAACGAAGGACGGCAAATTTCTGAATGGAGCTTTTTACTTATTATCTTTGTTGTTTGCTCACAATAAGAATTAGACTAGAGATGCATTCTGGAATTAGAGTTAATAATTAAAAATTAATTCATTAAACGCAAATCTACCTCGATTTTCTTCTTTGAAAATATTTATGCCATCAAGTAATAATTCGAAATAAAAATTGTTTTAAAATTTTTCATTAAATAATAAGCAATCAAAAGAATTTAAAATAAAATATTTTATAAAGCGAACTGCATAAATTATAATTTATAATATAACGATAACTTTGGTTTTGAATCATTTATAAAAAATATTACCAAAAATTTAATAAAATTGATAAATATATTTTCAACAATTTTATGTATTTTCATGATCAGCAAATATACTGCCCGACTTTTACCTATTGACAGAAAATTATTGTCACTTCATCTTTGTCAATTATCATTGTTTCATCTTTTTTATTTCAAATGAAACCACAATTAATGCGCATAGATAGGTTCTTTAGTGATATTGAATGTATTTATATTGTTGCAAACAACGTATATTAGGTATATTAATAATAATTAATGATTGCTGATAAAGTGCTTCAGCAATCTCACTGCCTAAAAGCAAGATATACGTGTAAATTATAAATTCAAAGAAAAGACAATTGATTTTGAGAGAAGAAAAGAAAATTACAGTCTACATTAAAATAAAAGTTTTTAAAAACCACAACATTCATTTCACGTTAAATAAATTTAAATATTACGTATTTTATTAGTAAAAGGAATGCAAAAATCAAATGTTTTTAGCGGCTGATTGATCTGATTCTATTTCTTTTAGATATTTCAAATCATTTTTATTTATTATCTCACAGGTATGAAGAGGTGATGTCCATAATATATTTTAATATTTCAACTGAATTTGCGAAAAATTTGGAAACGACTGCACAAAAATATTATATGGAATAAAAATCCCTCAATCAATTTTCTTTCCCAACTTTAATCACATTAATTCAGAAGCAAATGGACTGACAATGAGAGAGCTCGTGAACATTGCGAGAGAGGGGTCGTTGCCTGAGCTGACTTTGGAGAGCCAGTTTTTAAGGCAAATCTTTTCTGCTCGGCTAGTGTGCCGCTGTCAAATTAGCGAGAAATTTAGCGCGCGAGATTGGCCTCTGCGCGTTTTATATAAAAAGTAATGGCTGCGCTATAGCTGTGCTCTTATTCGAAATAGGCTGCTCAAGACCGCACACGGATCATTTACAATTGAAATCGACTCGCGGCTGCCTCTCTCTCCGCCTTTGTGTAAAAATGTTTTCGTGAGCACATCATCACATCATGATTCTTTGCTTTTATTACGCGTAATAAAAAGGCAGCTCTCTCATCGCATCTCTCGGTGGTGGCGGCGGCGGCGGCTGTGAAGCTCCCATTCCATCACATAATAATAATGAATTGAATCGCGCGAGTTGCTGTGAGTTGTTATTATATATGCGCGCCCGGTATATTATTATTATTAAGGGCGTAAAAAGAGCAAGCCAGGGAAAATTCCTTCGCTTACGCTGCATGTGAATTTCAAATATACGGATGAAAAAATGTATAGAGCAATAATAAAAAGGCAGCAACGACCGCGGCGTTGCTGTTAATTATTATTTTCCACCGCGCGGTTCATTAATTTTCCTGTTGAAAACTTTTTACTTCTTCCGCTACTCGAGTCGCTTTTCCCGAACGCCCTCTGCGCGACGAGAGCTGCTGTTTTATGCATTTGGACTTTTTTATTGTTGCGACGACAGTTAAACGGTCGGATGTGCATTTCCAGCAGCTAAAAGTTTTGTTCCACTAATGAGTGAGGGTCCTAAATGAGATTTTCAGTACAATTAATTTCATAAATAATATAAATTATTTATAACAATGCGGTGCAAAGAATGAATGATTGTAATTATTTACAAAATGATAATCACTTAATGGAAAAGTAAATTAATTTTGAAATTTAATTTGTAAAATAAAATTCAATGACTGCCTGACTGTATCTAAGCTAAGTATAGCGCTATAAATAACAGATAATTTTTACAAAGGCTATAAATATGCATTTTAATTTAATTATCAACACGCATTTAATGAAAAATTTACAAATTACTTATCGATCAAAAGTTTACTTGCAATTGCAAGTAATTTTTTTTTTTTTAAATAAAACAACAATTTAAATCTTAAATTTATTAAGTAAAATAACTCACCTTAGTTGATAAAAATTAAAATTAAATAAATAAACCATAATTCAAAATTTTTGTTGCTTAATGAAAACTGGGATTTTACAAGGTAATTTGGTTTTTAAACAGCTCTTTTAATCAACATAGTGCTGGTAAATGAATTAATTATGGACTCATGGAAAATTGATATGATATAGGAATAAAATTTTTGTTAATTTTTTTTACTCCTAGAATATATATTTTTTTATTATCTAGTGAGAAATTGTTAGGTATTTTGATTGCAAATGAATAACTTATTTTTTATTCAAAATTATTGATTATTATTATAAAGTTTGTTAAAAAATGCACTGCAGTGTTTTTAAGTTCATTTTATACATTTCAGATAAAAGCTTTCGTCAAAAAATTTTATGTCGTAGGAAGGGATGTGACAGAATTATATTTTTTTCTTCAATATTTCTCATCTGGCTGCTCCAAGAGTGGCTTTTTATCATGAGACCGTCATGCTCTCCTTTTCGGTCTCTTTCCGTCTGATGGAAAACAAACGGCCGATTTTAGGTGTGTGCTGTGTCGGTGTTTTTGATCCGCGCGGTCTCGGGGGTCGGTCTGAGGAGACACCGCAGCAGACGCGCTCGGCTTTTATTTCTCATCAACTCGGTTGACTTCTTACTTGCATTACCAGCCAGTCTTTGTTTGCGCGCCTGGCCCGGCTTGAGTTTCTTCTGCTTTTCTGCTGTTTTGATACCGCGCCCCGCGTCATCATTCAATACACACACGGAGCTGTATTTTCTTTACATTTTATTGTGTCTGCCAACTTGTCTCTCGCAGAATCGCTACCGTGCAACCCGCGCGACTTTTTTTGCAAAGGCGGCCGCTTTTGGCTGGGAGGTTTACGCCTCGAATGAAAGCAGACGGTTGTTTTTCCTCGAGTTTTTTTTACTTGAAATTACCCAAGCTAAATATTTTAAAGGTTTTTTGTTTTGGGCTTATTTATTTGTAATGTTATCGATTTCTTTTTTTCAGAAACAAAACATGATGAAACTTTGTCGTCCTATCGCTGTTTTGATACAAAAGGCAGCGATACTTACAATCTAGAGACGAGTTTGACAGCGGCTGTGAGGTTATGAGGAGGAAAACAAATTTTTAGTCTATGGGGTTTAAATTTTAGAGGTGCTTTTGTTTTATTTTATATTTCTAAAATTAGTAATCCATTTTTTCAGAATAATAACATTTTTTTATTTCAAAATAGCATCATAACATTTTTATAATTTTTTTATTTTATATAATCATCATCATCAAAATATTTTATATAATAGATTGTGAAATTTTCAAATTGAAAAGGTTGATGTATTTTATACAACAAAAAATGTAAATTTTATATTTTGATTACAATGTTTGCTGTAATTTTCTGATAAATAATAAATAATTAAAAATATTCCACGTGACACATAATAACTATACTAATCGATACTAATTATAAATATATAGAATTTAATAACTGAAATAATTATTTACTTTGCATAACAAATTTAACATTCAATTTCAAAATTTTTCTATCCACCACTTATAAAATTCAATCTGTTTATGTCATTTGGCTTTAATAATTTTTGTCAAATAATTATTTGATGTTACATACATAAAATGCGACTAATAGCGAGGAACAAAAATAATAATAAAAAATTTTGATCAGTTTAAAAATAAATACTTCATTACTTTACAAGATTAAAATCATTTTGGTTATATTCCCCCGAAAAAAAGTCGACCATTAGTGTCAAGCAACTCGATTTTTCAAGCGATATCTGTTTTTAAATAATCTCTAAGGCGTTGTTTTTAAATATGTAAATTCTATACTTTGAAGCAGAAAAATAATATTCGCCCACGGGAGGACAATTTTCTAATGTGAAATTAAACGCCGAGATACACACCAACTGATGTCGGCGAGAGAAACTTTTAATTACAAGTCATCTTTCTCTCTG